CAGTAAGTACTTCTTCACTTTCAGTAAGCAAGGTTGGGTCATCTGCATATCTCAGGTGGTTCATGAGCCTTTCTCCAATCCTGATGCCTCACTCGTCATATAATCCAGCTCCTCTGATTACTTGCTCGGCATACAAATTGAATAAGTATGTTGGAAGTGTATGACTCTGACACACATCTTTCCTGATTTAAACCTTTCAGTATCCCCTTAGTCTATTGGAACAACTGCCTCTTGGTCTAACGTATAGGTTCCACATGAGCACAATTAAGTGTTCTGGAATTCCCATTTTTCACAATGTTATTCATAGTTTGTTATGATCCACATAGTCAAATGCCTTTGCATAGTCAATAAAGCACACGTAAACATCTTCCAGTATTCACTGCTTTAAGTCAAAATCCATCTGACATCATTCCAAGTCCTCTTCTGAATCTGACTTGTAATTTTGACACCTCATGGTGGATATATTGCTGCAACCATTTTTGAATTATCTTCAGAAAATTGTATAAGCTTGTGGTATTCATGATATTGTTCAGTAATTTCTGCATTCTGTGGGGTCACCTTTCTTTGGAGTGGGTACAAGCCTGGATCTCTTCCAGTCTGTTAGTCTTAGCTGTCTTCTAAATTTCTTAGCATTGACTAATGAGTGCGTCCAGTGCCGAATCCATTTGTTGAAACATTTCGATTGGCATTCCATCAATTCATGGAGCCAGTGCCTTCAATGCAGCTTGGACTTCTTACTTCATTCAGTACCATCAGTTCTTGATCATATGCTTGCTCTTGAAATGGTTGAACATAAACCTATTCTTGGCACAATGACTCTGTGTTTTTCTTCCATTTTTTTTTAAAATACTTCCTGCATCGTTCAAGATTTAGCCCATAGAATAATTCAATATTGCAAGTCGAGGCTTGAATTTTTTCTTCTGTTCTTTTAGCTTGAGAAATGCTGAGCGTGTTCTTCCCTTTTGACTTTCTAACTCCAGGTCTTTGCACATTTCATTAAAATACTTTACTTTGTCTTCTAGAGCTGTCCTTTGGAATTTTCTATTCAGCTCTTTAGTTTCATCATATCTTCCATTTGTTTTAGCTACTGTACATTCAAGTGCAAGTTTCAGAGTCTCTTCTGACATCCATTTTGGCCCTTTCTTTCTTTCTTGTCTTTTAAATGACCTTTTGCTTTCTTCATGTATGATGTTTTTGATGTCATTCACAACTCTTCTGGTCTTTACTTTTTAGTGTCTAATGCATCACATCTGTTCTTGAGATGATCTCTAATTTTAAAAGTAGAATAGTTCAGGGTGAGCACCATGAGGTGGGTATAATATAGACAAGATTGATCTGTCCATTCCCCCCATCCCCCCAAAAACACAGAGGGAATAGAAGCAAAAATATTGTTGAATGATGATACACAGTAATCAGTGCAATGAAACAAGATGTAAAACCGATGTTCTCCCATGTAAACTATCACTCAATTCACAATAAAAACTTAAAAAAATAGATCAATTTGTGCAGTCCTCATTGCCTACGTCTTTTGATGGGGCATGTCCTCCTTCCATGCAGGAAGATAACTGCAACAAGGAGACCCATCAACTGCTCTCCCTTCCCTCGGCCCCTGACCCCCACCCTGCCCTCCACAGAATCTGCCTCACCTCTCATAGCACCCTACCTTTGCTCAGGCCATCCCTTCTACCTGGAATACCCTTTCTCTCCATCTCTGCCTCTCGAGACTATTCTTTGCAAATGTCTCTTTTTTAGAAGTCTCCCCCTTTGCCTTTTCCTTCTTTACCTCCCTTCCCTCCTTGGGCCTTTGCCGACCAAGTGGCTTGATGGACTCTTGAGTGCTTTGAGGGCAGGGATTGAGCTTGCCCCATGTGAAGGGTCTGGTCTGCCCAGTGAATACCTGGCAGGATGGTTGAGCAGATGAGTTGAAGAGCAAGGGAAGATGCCAGTTGGAGAGTATGCTGCAGTCTTGCTGAGCATGGGTGGGAAGGCAGGCCCCATGGGCTCACTGGGCCTCCCTGCTCTCTCCTGCCCTCATTCTTGACCCTGGTCTCTGAGACCCAGCTGGGGTCAGATGGTCTGAAGCAGGTGGATGCACATCGAAGAGGAAGTCCATCTGCCTCTTGGAGCCTCAGCTCCCCCTCCTGAGGCGTGCCCAGAAGAGTTGCCCCCTTGGAGGCGGTGGTGGTTATGTGTTGTGGAGTTGGTTCCAATTCATAGCGACACTGTACAGAGTTTCTGAGGCTGTAAATCTTTACAGGAGCAGAAAGCCTCATCTTTCTCCCATGGAACAGCTGGTAGATTCGAACTGCTTACCTTGTGGTTCACAGCCCAATTCATAATCACTACACTACCAGAGCTCCTTTGGAGGAGTGGTGAATAATTTAATGAGATGGCCCATATGAATGCCTAGTCCATAGTAAAAGGCTTACCAACAAACCCCCCTGCTCACATGTTGTGCACAGTCCTGCACCCCCAAGCAGATACGCTGTCAGCCCCCCAAACATCACTCTGCTTTAGCTGTGCTTATCTCTGTATTTTCTTGGTGAGAGTCAGGGCTGAAAGTCCAGAGTCCTGGGTCCTGGTCTCCATAACACCCTTCTGTGCCTCCATGTGGGGGGCTGGGTCAGATGACCTCCTGAAGTACCTGCATGCACCCCCAGGGTCTGGGGTTCCCTTCTGATGCCTTCTTTGGATACTGTCTTTGCTACTCCTGCTTGGGTATCACAGCCCTGGAAGGGACCATGGTGGAAGGGGTGGTACAGTCCCCTCCCCAGCCCTGGGAGTAGATTACCAAGATCTCTGCTCTTCAGGTGAAGCCTCGACCAAGTGAACCATAGCTGGAAGGCTTCCTGTATGAAGCTGCTATGTGATGAGCTCAGGTTGTGTTGAGGTTCAGCTGGCATTCCTGGCCGAGGTTAGCTATAAGCTGAACTCCAACCCTGCCCCCACCACTGACTCAAAGTGAGACCTGGGGCAAGTCCTTGAATCTCTGAGCTAGCTGGCTTGTGAGGTGAATGGAGATTACAGTCCACGTCCTACCTGTGGGTTCAGTTAGATAATGGATCCTAATGTGCCTTGTGTCCTGCACAAGACGGGACCATTTTCTCATCCTGGGAGACACTTTGTGCCCTCCCTACAAACTTTCAAGGTGATGACTGTCTCTTCCATGGTACTTTGAGGGAGAGGGTCCCAGCAGGGTCCAGTCAGTTTTCCCTCCTCTACATAGGGGTGGTGGTGGTTATGTGCCATGGAGTCGGTTCCAACTTATAGTGACCTTATATAGGGTTTTTGAGGCTATAAATCTTTATGGGAGCAGAAAGCCTCATTTTTCTCCTGTGGAATGGCTAGTAATTTTGAAGTGCTGACCTTGAGGTTCGCAGCCTGACTCATAACCACTACCCTATCAGAGCTCCTTAGTAAAGAATGACTGCCTTGAATGTTGTGCCCTTTCAAAGACCTTTCTATATGGGATCAAACTGAGAACGGCACTTGGAAGGTTAGATGAGACGCTTAGGAAGCAGTGAGTTTATGTGAATGGTGATGGGGTCATTTGGGAAAGATCAGACGAGTGGTACGTGCAGAAATTAAACTGATGCATGTTTTGTTGTGAACATTTTCACCAAAACACACATACACAAACAAAAAAGAAAAGGCTCTCAACAACAAAATATCGAGGTGAGGGGTATGACGTCACAAACTGCAGGTCACTGTGTCAGTGTGAAGGCTTCAGGACAAACATGACTTTTGCTTCTGGGAGTCACTGCTAGCATGGGAGACAGGCACCCACTGGAAATGCATCAGGATGCAATAAAAGGAGCACAGCTCTAGGCACACCCTGACACGGCTTCTAGCTCTCCACCACTCTGTAACTTTGGGCCTCAGTTCCTCACCTGTGCCAGGAGGCCAGTGATCCCTGCATGTGGGGTGGGAGTGGGGGTGGGGTGGGGTGGGGAACATTCTGGGTGGGAGGTGGCCTGGGGACTTGCCTCATCCCTGCATGATCCTTCTCCTCACTTGTTCTTCCAGTGGGAACGCCTCTGGTTTCTGCTTCTCACCTTCACCTTCGGCCTCACCCTCACCTGGCTCTACTTCTGGTGGGAAGTCCACAATGACTATGATGAATTCAACTGGTGAGTGGGGGGTGGGCCCTGGGGACATGGGTCTGTCCCTCTCTCCCAGGTTGGCTATTGGAGCACTGCCACCAGATCTCTGTGTGACCTTGGGTAAGGCCACCTGTCCTGTCCACTTCCCGGGCTTTGGTGAGTGAAGCTGATGTCACACTGAAAGTGGGAAGTGGGTAAATACCACAGGCTGGCAAGAGAAATGACAGATGTGAGTGCTAGTCCTCAGGAGTCCCCAACCTAGCAATGCAGGGGAACAGTGACATAAGGGGACCTAGAAGAAGAGAAATCCAGCCCCCGGGAGAAAGCTTCCTAGAGGGATCTAGCCCTAAAGGATATCTGGCTTGGGACACTCGGAACTGCAGCTGGGGATCTCCTTGGAGGCCCCTGGTATACCCTTGGTGACTCAGCTTTCATTGCTAAAGCCTGGGGCACTGAAGACTTGGCAGCTAGAATGAAAGCCCCTAGACAAACTGAGGCAAGCCAGAGAGATACAGGGAGCTGGTGCTGCTGGGGATGGACAGTAGGCATTCTAAAACTGAGGACAGAGTTCAGCCTAGGACCAGCGCCTCTGGAAGCCTCCTTAACAGACGAGAAAACCAAGGCCAAGACAGACCAAGGTCTCAGCAGAGGAGGTAGCCCAGATCTAGGGCTGGCAGATGCTGTGGTTCTGGGACAGGCCAGGGTCCACCCTCAGTCTAAAGAGCAGGATTGTCTCAGGTAGTTACCTCCATTACCTGCCTTTTGCGGTAGGGAAGGACCCTATGTTCTAGTGGGAACCTCTCCACTGACAGGTGGGGAAATTGAGACTCAAAGTCACATTATTAGGGGCAAAGTTGAGGCTCAGATGCCAAGCCTGCTCACTCCCCACCCAGTGGATCTTTCTTTCTTTTGATCAGAAGCGCAGTTCAGTGTGACCATGAGCAAGCTTGTTTCTTCTTCTGTAAAATGGAGTAACTCTGGCCTCATCAGACCCTTCTGAGGATGAAATGGGTGGACAGGCCTCAAAGCTTCCCCTAAATATGGGATTGCTTCCTAGGAGACAGACTCTCCAACTGGAAGGTAGCCATGGTATTAGAATCTGGGGTTTCTAGGACTCTAGAAAGTTGAGGTGGTTCTGATGCACCACAGTTCTAGGATTCTGTGAGGACCCCAAGACTCTGTTCATGGAATCTGGAAGGCTACTCTTTCAGCTTTAATGTGCACAGTGAGAGGAACACTGCTCCCCATAGCCCAGCAAGATGCTCCGGGGCCCCAGCCGAGTTCCAAGGGTGGCCTCTGGCCTTTCTTAAATGCTATAAATCAATTATTCATTCTCGCAGTGTCCAAAGTATCAGTGCTGTCGTCATGGGGCAATGGGAATGCTCCCTGTTGGCCCATCCACTGCATGTGCTGATCTGGAGATCTGTTGCCTGGAAAATCATCGTGTCCATCCCTTCATGTACAGATGGGGAAACTGAGGCCCAGAGAGGGACAGAACTTACCCAATCAGTGCCAAAAGCACATAGTAAAGGCAGTCTTTAGATTTAGATTCAAAGAGGTTAAGTAATGTTTCCAATGTCACAGAGACAGATGGAAACAGACCTGGGACTTGAGCATGACCTCATTCTTCCCAGAGCCATGATTTGGCCACAGTGTGAGCTTCACTTCACTGGAGGCTACAGAGGGGAGGGCCTGGGGACCTGAAACTCCTTCGACATGACCCCTCCATGTCTTGCAACCCAGTCCTCATGGTCACGAGGGTCTGAGATTAGGGATGTTCACTTTGTAAGAGGGTGTGAGCAAAACCCAGGTGGTGAGGAGCACTGGGAGGGACCATCTGGAATTTTACCATCCAGGATGACTTCCTTCCATATGTGGTCACCCTTAGGAGACAAATGGGGTCAGCATATCCTTCAGGAGAAGTTACCAGGAGCAAGTCCATCTGCTCTTTGAACCTCAGTTTCCCCAATTATTCAGTAAGTTGCATGCACTGAGGAACCTTCCAGGGAGGTGATTTTTCTCTGGAATCTGAGGGTGAGGACAAGGAAGGACTGGGAAGGGCAGATGCCCAATGGCATCCTCCTGGTCTCCGCGTCCAGCCCCCACTGAGACCCAAGATGTCAGCAGGCCTGAGATTGTCTGGTGATGACTTTGTTTCTCAGACAACCTTGAGCAAGTTGTTGCCTTCTCCAGATCTCAGTTTGCCCAGATGTACCAGAGAGATGTGTTGGTTTAGTCTTTCTAGAAAGCAACTAAGCAATATCTGAAGCCTTAAAAAGTTCATTCCCTTTGGCCCTAGAATTCTATTTGTAAGCCTTGATCCTAAGGAGAAACACTGTCAGATATAGTGCCAGAAAATAAGCCCCTCAGGTTGGAAGACACTAAAAATGTGACTTGGGAAGAGCTGCCTCCTCAAAGTAGAATTGACAGTGATAAAGCGAATGGAGTAAAGCTCGTAGGAGAAAAGCCCGCGGGACTTTCATTTGCTGATGGGGCACAACTCAACATGAAGAGAAACAGCTATAAACAGCCATTGAAAATCAGAAAATGGAGTGTACGAAGTATGAATCTGGGAAAATTGGAAGTTGTCAAAAATGAAATGGAATGCATAAACATCAATATCTTAGGCATTACTGAGCTGAAATGGACTGGTATTGGCCATTTTGAATCTGACAACCACATGGTTTATTATGCCAGGAATGACAAATAGAAGAGGAATGGTGTTGTATTCATTGTCAAAAAGAACATATCCAGATCAGTCATGAGGTATCTATCTGTGATAGGATAATATCCATGCGCCTACAGGAAAGTCCAGTTAATACCACTATTATTCAAATTTATGCACCA